CGTCGCGGGGATTTGAACCACCAACCTTCTGATCGGCAAGTCCTAGGCTCTGTGGTTTAACTCACAGCACCACCCGCATCCCTAATAACGTTCATAGAATCATAGAATTGTTGAGTTGGAAGGGACACTGAGAGTCATCTAGTCCAACCCCCTGCAATGCAGGAATCTTAACTAAAGCACCCATGACAGCTCTGCTTAAAAACCTCCAAAGATGGAGAGCCCACCACCTTGGGAGTCGGTTCCACTGTCAAACAGCTCTTACCACCAGAAAGGTCTTCTGTGATTTTTGAAAAGCTAAAGGACCACCAGAACAGAAAGAGTTAAAAATAGTGATCAATCCCTTGAATCATAATGATGGCATTTTACCATTGTACTGTTGAGAATATATTAACTTATGGTCTCTATGTGTGGTTTGGGAGCTGCACGGTCAGGGAAAAAACAATGCTGTCCAGGGTTCTAAAGACTGCGGAGAGAATAATTGGGTGCACTCTTCCCACCTTGGATCAAATCTATGCTTCCAGGTGCCATAAGAAAGCTGCAGAGATAGCGCAGGATAGTGTGCACCCCAGAAATGATCTCTTTCAAGCTTCTGCCTTCTGGAAGAAGGTACAGGGTTATTAAGACTAGGACTAGCCGCCTGAGAAACAGCTTCTATCCAAATGAGATTTTGATTTTAAACGCAGTGTAAGGAGTCTCTATGGGAGTATATTGTATTTAAAAATGGGGTATCAGAGTTTTTAGGGGCTAACCAAGTTGGGATAGCAGGCTTGTTGGTTTTTGAATGTCTTATGTAGATTTTTTCAATTTCGTTGTTCTGTATGGGACAATGACAATAAAGATTATTGTATCGTATCTGCATTGCGACCAACAAAAGAATTACATCACCATTCCATTTACCTTTTTGTACTTCTGTAAAAGCAGTAAGTGGCGCTGTGGGTAAAAGCCTCAGCGCCTAGGGCTTGCCGATCGAAAGGTCGGCGGTTCGAATCCCCGCGGCGGGATGCGTTCCCGCTGCTCGGTCCCAGCACCTGCCAACCTAGCAGTTCGAAAGCACCCCTGGGTGCAAGTAGATAAATAGGGACTGCTTACTAGCGGGAAGGTAAACGGCGTTTCCGTGTGCAGCTCTGGCTCGCCAGAGCAGTGATGTCACGCTGGCCACGTGACCCGGAAGTGTCTCTGGACAGCGCTGGCCCCCGGCCTCTTAAGTGAGATGGGCGCACAACCCTAGAGTCTGTCAAGACTGGCCCGTACGGGCAGGGGTACCTTTACCTTTACCTTTAAAAGCAGTAAACATTGCAAAGACACTTTCAGCACCCAATGCGATAGTCCTATCCCTTGAATTTCTCACTACCTAGGGAAGCAGAGAAGCATATAATACTCTCTTAGCCCATGGCAAGTAGCAGAATATCAATAGAAATAACAGCAAATGTCATTCTGAAGTGCGCTCTTTCTTCTTCTGTGGTTTGATGCACTGTAAATTCTGCATTGTTCTTCACAAACAAAGGGTGGAGCTGTTGCTTTGAGAATTGATTGTAATGCACGTTCTGGTGGAACCAATGCAAAGGACGGACTGAGTAGAGCACATACTGTGGAGCGGAAAGAGAGAGCACAGCTCTGTTGGAAAGCCTTCACAAAAATACAGCCTGCTTTGGGCACGCATCAGCAGTCGATCCCACTGCAAGCCCCTTTACAATCAATGGGAGAAGTGCAAGAACATGAATGCTCTGTTGTGGCAGCCATTCATTGGAACGGTGCTTGGGCTGGAGGACTTCCTGCTAGATTGTGTCTTAGAAGGAGAATGATGTGCTCTGTGGAATATAGGAAAATGTTGAAAACGTTCCCATGATAGCTCCGTGGCGTAGATTCATTTCATGGGTCTGACAAACAGCATTTTAAGAGAATGTCAACACCGGCACTCATCACTGCCTGCAGCTGAATGAACATATATACTGAAGAAGAAAACTCCCCTCAGCAAATAGGACTTAACTTCTTGGCAAATGTGTTCAGGATTGGAAACTTGCAGTATGCTTGCTCAACAGTAAGTTGCGCTGATGTCTAAGGAGCCTACTTGCAAATAAGGTTGTAACCTTAAATACTCATGTATATAGAAGTAACCAGTGCTATTTATTATTATTTTTTAGAAAATGAGGTTCTGGAGCTCACCATGAACTTCTCCCTCATTCTCTGAGAATGGCAACGGCACCCACCAGAGAGGTACCAGAGCTGAGCTCCTGTGAGCTCCAGCTGGGGAAAAAATGCCTTGGGAGCAGCTCTCATACTCACCTATATAGGAGTAGCTCACAACGTAGAATCCAGGTTATGCATTGGATGAGGAACTTACATGAGTTTAGGAGGCTCCTTGCTCCAGAAGTTCACCATTCAGTTTCTGAGCAGTGACAGGGAGACAGAGCAAGCACACTCATCCCTATTCCTCCTCCTCATATCTTAAGACTAATGCCTTAATAGGGTCACCTATCCATTGACTCTGAGATTTCAAGGGTTTTGTACAAGAAGTGGCACTGTGGGTTAAACCACAGAGCCTAGGACTTGCCAATCGGAAGGTCGGCAGTTCGAATCCCCGCGATGGAGTGAGCTCCCGTTGCTCGGTCCCTGCTCCTGCTAACCTAGCAGTTCGAAAGCACAAAGTGCAAGTAGATAAATAGGTACCGCTCCAGCGGGAAGATAAACGGTGTTTCCATGTGCTGCTCTGGTTTGCCAGAAGCGACTTAGTCATGCTGGCCACATGACTATACGCTGGCTCCCTCAGCCAATAAAGCGAGATCAGTGCCGCAACCCCAGAGTCATCTGCGACTGGACCTAATGGTCAGGGGTCCCTTTACCTTTAAAGCTAATCAGACTCTCCTTTTTTGTTAAGCAGGAGCAGGAGAATTCCCTCTCCTTTTTTGCACTTAAATCTCCATTACAGGACCACCCACCTATTAGGGCAGAATGCTGTTGTGCTCAGGTCTTGCTTTTGGGCTTCACACAGACATCTGGTCAACGCTGTGAGAACGGGATGCTGGACTAAATGGGCCGTTGGCCTGATCCAGCAGGCTCATTGTATGTTCTTATGAAAATATAGTACAAAGTGGGTCATTCTTTAAACAAAAAATGGGGATCTTGGCCAAAACAGTTGATAACTTCTTTTAGAAGTTTCTCCTTGGGATTGGTCTTCAATTTTTCACTAAGAACACTCAACATACACGATCTTCAGACAATCATGTCTTCACCCTGTGCAAAATGCTAATTGTAACTGGGAGGGAAATTGGATAGCCATTTTAATTGCAGGGAACAGTTTGGTGCGGTCCAATAGTTCATTAAGGCTCGTGTTGCCTTACGAGCAACAATAATGTGTGTATTTCTTTGGCAGGTCTTTTCCTCCACAGCTCATGTTGTTGTTGTTTAGTCGTTTAGTCGTGTCCGACTCTTCGTGACCCCATGGACCAGAGCACGCCAGGCACTCCTGTCTTCCACTGCTTCCTGCAGTTTGGTCAAACTCATGTTCGTAGCTTCGAGAACACTGTCCAACCATCTCGTCCTCTGTCGTCCCCTTCTCCTTGTGCCCTCCATCTTTCCCAACATCAGGGTCTTTTCCAGGGAGTCTTCTCTTCTCATGAGATGGCCAAAGTATTGGAGCCTCAGCTTCAGGATCTGTCCTTCCAGTGAGCACTCAGGGCTGATTTCCTTAAGAATAGATAGGTTTGATCTTCTTGCAGTCCATGGGACTCTCAAGAGTCTCCTCCACAGCTCATACTAAGTAACAGATTCATTCCCCAAGTTTTGAAACTAGTAACATTCCTTGATGGAATTGATGTGGGCTTGAAAGTCTTCTTCTCCACTGCGGCACATCTGACATGGATGTAGTTTCAACAAACTGGAAATGGAAATGAATCCTCAGTGAGGTTATAAGTGAATCTAGGTAGGGAACATAGATGGACCCCCAGTATAACTCTTCTGTGGATTGGTAGGGATGATTTGCACATTTTCTGTTGTGTATCGTGTGTCTAGGTGCTTCATCTGCCAGCTTCTTGCACTTTTCTATTATTGTGCTAAAGGTCTCCTCACTAAGTTCCCCATGTTGCTCCAGCGTTCTCAGCAACTCTCATATATGTGCTTTCATCTCCATTACATCTCACATCACAGTTTGCAGAGCTTTGGTGACTGACTCTGGCATCAAATAATATTTCCTTCTGATTCCAAGAGAAACTGTAAAAGCTGATATCTGCAATGCACACAACAAGTGGTCCAAAAGCTGTCTTTGCCATCATTTCCCTTGATCCAGCTAATTGCATCAGTTGTGAGATGATACATCTGTACTTTTTTTTTTTTGCAAACACATGGATGCTCTTGTATTTTTGAGTCCACCATGTTCCACATAGCATTGACGTGTTGGATATTAGATGTTGTGTTTGGACAGTCTCATGGAAAAAATGATGACGGTTTTAAATGTGGCAACTGTACACCACACATCATCTGCACTGTTCAGATCATTTACAGTGAGATTAAGTCTATAGGATGAGCAGCAGACAAAAGTTGCCTAAGGATAGAATGCCCTCATTTGTGCTTGAACCTCACCTTGTTTTCTGGCCATAGTTGAACAACCATTGTATCCTCATCCAACTGATTTATTGAAATCTACTCCAAAATCAGAACAAGCAGATAAAATTGTGTTGGCAGTTTAGTCTGAGATTGAAATGAACCCAAGGAATTCCTCATATACCCGTCAGCTTCTTCCACAAATCTTACACCTAGAAGCAGTTTTTCTATGCCAGAAATATCTGCTGTTTCATCTGCAAAATCCGAGAATCTCATGGAGGCATCAGCTTTCAACATTATCTTCCCTCAAAATTTGGCCACGCAACATTATCCACTCATTCTGCCTTCTTGAAGAAGTATACTTTGCATTGTGTGCCTCAATATTTCATCCCCTGCCTCAATGTGAAACTGTAAGAGGTCTATCATTTTACCTGTGGCGTCAATGAAGCACAAGGTCATGTGACTCACACCAAACAATGGTTGATATCACAGAGTACAGTTTTTGTTGTATTTTCCTCTACAGCTCCTGCATATGACTTCTTCTGTCCAACTGACACTTCTTTCCTGTTGAAGACATAAAGGAAGTTCAAAGCACCATCCTGTGAACTCACCGCTCTGTGAGAGCTTCTCTTGCAGCTTCTTTGAAGTCTTTGTGCTCGATACAACTTTGGTAATGAAAGTGCCTTGTAACTGCAGCGCTACTGGCTGGAGAAATAAAATGCAATAATGGCATACACATCCTTTCAAAGCAGCAGAGAATACTAACCAAGGACAATAGTCAGAAGGCACCACATCTAATGAAGTAGTGTCTTCAGTATACAGTATGTCTGGGGCTCACTAACTCTTCTCTGCTTTTTGAAGGGGCTGTGGGCAACCAGAGCTAAGCAAATAGAAGCAGCTCTGATTCTTTGCCTTCTCCCTCTAACAACCTTATACAGACCCTCCAAGCGTTCCTATTTTCCAGGGACAGTCCCAGACTCACAGAAGCCCTCCCACTTTCTGACTGGATCCAATAATGTCCCACTTTTCCTTAGGACGTCCCTATTTTCATGGGAGAAATGTTGGAGGATATGGAGTTATGTGACCTCAAAGACAAAGAGGTAAGTAACGATACAACCTGTGCACTGCCCTGAGTCCTGCGGGTATAGAGCGGTATATAAATTCTAACAACAGCAGCAGCAGCAGCAGCAGCAACAACAACAACCATTAGAAAACATCTGAAGGCAGCCCTGTATTAGAAAGTTTTTTTAATGTTTTATTATGTTTTCATATAAGTTGGAAGCTGCCTAGAGTGGCTGGGGCAACCCAGTTCAACAGACAGGTGGGGTATATTATTATTATTATTATTATTATTATTATTATTATTATTATAAATGTTGTCCCTATTTTCATTGGAAAAATGTTGTAGAGTATGCTTATATAGAAAAGCTTTGTGCCTTTATCTCAGTCTTCACCCAATCAAATCACTAGTACAGTGGACGCTTGGGTTGCAAACATGATCCGTGCGGGATGCATGTTTGCAACCTGCAGCGTCCACAACCCGCAGCAGCGCATCTGCACACGCACGGGTTGCGATTCAGTGCAGCTGTGCATGCACAAAGCATGATTTAGCACTTCTGTGCATGCGTGGCCGCCGAAACCTGGAAGTAACCTGTTCTGGTACTTCCGCGTTTTGGCGGTCCGCAACCCGAAAAAACGCAACCTGAAGCGCCTGTAACCCAAAGTATGACTGTACTAAGGTTTTGTTTCTGAAGGGAACCTTTTCATCACTTTCAGTTTCTGTTCCACTGGGTTACTTTTGGTTTCTATTCTTCACCACCCCTTTACCTGCCCCTCAAAAGAGGAGGCGTAAGTCCAGCATCACCCCCTAAGCTCATCTCCTGATCATAGAAAGGCACCACAATTCTGTTGGGAGGTGGTTGTTGTTGTTGTTGTTTTACAAGCAAGTGAAATAAATAAATAAGGAAATCCTGTTGAATGCCTCTCTGGAATTACAGGATGAGCTTCTGAAACTATGAGAAACAGCTCATGCCTTTTCCGGTTCAGACTGGGCCATTTATCATCTGAGGAGTACCTAGTGAAGAAGGTGGGGAGCACATGCCTAAGTTAGAACACCACCCATTTACATCCCCAGCAAATTCTGGTTGTTATCGTCAGACCCTGCTTGGGGATATAATGGCTCACTTAAACCCTGGGCTCTTCGAGATGAACTTGGGAGCTCTCCCAAGTCCTGCAGCAATGAGCAAGATCCAAAATAGCAGTCCCCAATCAATGTTGTTCTTTTGTAGCCTCTGGAAACATTCCAGGGTGGTGGTGATAGATTTGCTTATATTAATGCTTCCCGTTGAGAATGAACTTCCAGGGTTATTTCAAGACATTTTAAAGCATTTCAGCAAATCCTATAAATGTTGTTTTCACTGTCTGCTTTTCCCAAGGAAAATAATCGTGCCGTTTACAGCCATAGAAAGACTACTGGATTTTTCATTCTTTTAATCTTTGTGGCATGTTGGGCAGACCACCAGCAGCTGCTTATCAGCTGGCTGACATCAGGTAAAGAGCCAGCCCTATATGTTTTATTTACATTTTAAAAAATAGGATGTGGAATATCTCAGCAAGTTCCTGAGAGACCCACGAAACGTATACCATGGGTTATAGAAGCACATCTAATTAGATTTGACAGTATAACCTTCCTGTAGCATGCCTAGGGTATCCCCTCAAGAAATAGCTGGTTTCAAGATCAGCATCCTTGAATGCACTTCTGCATAAGGCATTTCTCTCCCCCAACCCCCACAAGTGTTTGGTTTTTTTTGTAGTGTGTGTGTGTTTGTGTGTGTGTAAACCTAGACAGCATCTTAAAAAGCAGAGACATCACCTTGCCAACAAAGGTCCGCATAGTTAAAGCTATGGTTTTCCCAGTAGTGATGTATGGAAGTGAGAGCTGGACCATAAAGAAGGCTGATCGCCGAAGAATTGATGCTTTTGAATTATGGTGCTGGAGGAGACTCTTGAGAGTCCCATGGACTGCAAGAAGATCAAACCTATCCATTCTGGAAGGAAATCAGCCCTGAGTGCTCACTGGAAGGACAGATCCTGAAGCTGAGGCTCCAGTACTTTGGCCACCTCATGAGAAGAGAAGACCCTGATGTTGGGAAAGATGGAGGGCACAAGGAGAAGGGGACAGCAGAGGACAAGATGGTTGGACAGTGTTCTCGAAGCTACCAGCATGAGTTTGACCAAACTGCGGGAGGCAGTGGAAGACAGGAGTGCCTGGCGTGCTCTGGTCCATGGGGTCATGAAGAGTCGGACATGACTAAATGAATAAACATCAACAACAAACCCAAACAAAGAGTGTTGGATTTGACCAGAGGAGCTCCAGGTTCAAATCCCTGCTCCGTCACAAAGCTCGTGCCAGGAAAGTCATTGCAGCCTAACTCACCTTTATGGAGGATTCAAAAAAAGAACCGAAAAGCCTTTTGTGTGCACTTCAGATGACTATAGGCTTCATACAAGGGAGAAAGAGACAAGCCACTCTTCAGTTTGCAAGAGCAGTGTATACATTGGTTGAAAGGTTGCGCTGTCAATGGAAGCAATGGCATGGAAAGCTATCAGCTACAGACTGGTGGGTCCTTTCAGTACAGCATTTTTTATTTTTTTAGTTAAAGCATTTCCTCTCATCTGTTCCAACAGCTCAAAGCAACCAAAATCAGAATAAAACCCTGAGTTTTATATATTTTAAAACACCCACTATTATTTTTCAGTGAGGGGGCTTGGATGAGGCAGGGGTGTCTCTCCTCTTAGTTCAATCTGACTGTGATGGACTCTGCAGCTGCAGTTTCTTGCTTCACCAATCAAAAGTGTGGATGGGCAGATGCAGATATTGTTATGTACTGAAGTTCTCACCCTGGGCCAGCAGGGGGATACTGTAGATAGTTTTCACTCAGGTCCGCATATCCAAATAAGGAATTGAAATTGACATTCAGTGATTGGATAGTTACAGAAAGTTGTTACTGTTGCTTTGTAGTTGAGCTCTATATATGCAGGTTGGCTGAACCCTTCAGTTCAGTTCTGTTCTGGCCTGTGAATAAACAAGAGCTGTCTGAAGAATCGCTGTGTCATCTGATATGTTCACCCACAACTTAACACACGTGATTTGCTGCAACAATGCAAATATATTAGGCATTCCCAGAACACCCACTGGACCAATCCTGCAAAAGCTGCACCTGTCTTCCCACGAACATAGGAAGCTGCCACATAATGGGCAAAGTCGTTGGCCCATCTACCTCTGTTTTGTCTACTGACTAAGGTCTCGAGACACAAGCCTGTTACCTAAGATCATTTTAACTGAATATGCCAGGGACTGAATTTAGGAATTTCTGCATTCGAAGTACGCAGGTTTGACCCATGACATTTTGGCACCGGGCGAAATCACAACATGGCAACACCCTCCCCCAACAGGGAAGAAGGGGGAGGGGAGTGAAGATCTACATCAGGAACAAAGGGGGAATAAAAATTTACATTGGGGTCTGCTGCCCCTGTGGATCCTGCCGCCTGAAGTGGTCCCCTCACTATGCCTCATGGGTGGGCCGGCCCTGAAAGCATGGACCCTGCCCACTGAGCTATATCTGAAAGTTGGACTTCACTCCAGCATCAGCCTAATTACGTATATTAGTAAACCTAGCAAATGCACAATCACTGAATTAGATACATATACAGCCTGATACTTCACTGGCACCAAAGACCAACACTGGAATTCTGCACTTGTGAACTGATTATGGTGGAAGAGCCACAAAACCAGAGAATTGTATGGGGTTGCCTGTGAACTGTGAATTCGTCTGCCCGGGGAGAATCATCCTGAGATGGTCTCTCTGCTAATCATCAATCTCCCTCTGCAAGCAACGTTTCTGTTTAATAGCTGATAGAGCATCTCAGAGGGGACTTCCCTTCCGTCCCCCTTTGTTTAAAATGAAATATAATGGACCTGGACTTATCAGTGTCTCTAAATGCATTTTCTGCGCTTTATCCCTGCTAAGGGATTTGGTCTATCCTAGTGAGTACGTGCAGAATGGAATCTGAGCTTGGTATAATTTGATCCATCAATTTAACATTAGATTAATATGCAGAGAGGTCTCTTTTGTGGATTAAGGAAAAAACCCAGAAGGGGAAACACTTATTAATTTAAAATGGACTTGAGAAATGGAACGGAGCTGCTCCTATTAGTATCTGCCATAGAGCTCAATCGTTGCTTTGAGCATAGCCTTGCAACAATTAGGTGGGTATTAAAGCAGATCTACAGTTATCCAGAGAAGAGACAGTCTTGACCATCTCCAGGTTTCATGGAAGAACGTAGCCATTCCAAAGTGAGACTTCCCAGGACTTCAGAAAATTTATGGGGAGATGAAACCCATTGCTCCATGTTAACCAGATTTTAGTTGAAAGGTATGCTGGGACACAGCTCATGTTTTCAAAATCACACTGATCAGAATCTTCCAAGGATAGATAGATAGGATATTTAAGCCATGACAGCTCAGGTGTTTTGTTTTTAAAATAAAAACACTGAAAGCAATACAAGGGATATTCAAAAGATAGAGAGCGGTACTCTTGTATGCTTAGAACTTTGGACTGCTGGCATTTTGTGTCAAGTTATAAAACCAATTTGCTGGTTTTTATGCCTGAGACTGAGGGACGCGGGTGGCGCTGTGGGTTAA